GACAAATTTCGTCACGTGCTGCTAATGTCTCAGCGATGCTATTAAATACCATGACCTTTGTTACCTCGTCCATTCATATGAAGACGCAGAGAGGATCCAGCCAGTGATCAATCGATCGAACGGTATTCAAATGAAGACTTTCTCAATGTGTTGATACCATCCCAGAGTCATTATGCCAGTACGAAACAGCCGCTACATAAAACCCGATGGTAGATAGCGCATGCAAATATACGTTGCAGTGAGGAGGTCTTAATCGTACGGCGGGCATCATCGTCGGACAAATGATTATTGACTGGGCGATAGGATCGGAGCATTTTGGCATTAGTCTAACATAGCAGACATCTGTCCGAAGGATCCCATAGATGTATCATTCTCTGATTGCATTGTAGAGACTTCGGTAACGGCTGACGAGTGCATGCAAAAAACGGTCATTTACGAAATTTGAAAAATCACATTAAAATAATTCCATAACAGTTTGCAATAAGGCAGCAGCCATATATCAATGATATTATAGCGATGGAGGTACATAGTTATATAATCGGTATATACTTACCATCTAAACGTGAAGGAAAAGAAAGCAAACGCAACAAGGCACTTAGATGTAATTAGGCCGATATTCAAGTGCGCATGCAAAAAAGGTACTAAGATCTTTTTTTCCAAATAATGGGTTTGCCAAGGTTCTCGAGCTGTTACTGTACGGTATAACTATAGAGGTCCTTTCATATCATAAAAGAGGTCTGTCGCCAACGATAACGATACCAGCTAATGCAAGTGTCCAAGGATATGCTTAAAGTGTTACCGAGGTAATTAGGTTGGTACTTGTATGTATCTCGAAAAGTACCTAATAATCACGGTGAAAGTGGGCACATTACCAATTTCATGGAGAAAAATTTTTGCACGATATCTTTGCGCAATATGGATATACACGAAGCATATGTGTACATAGGTGCACCCGCGTTTCGGTTTCATTATGCTAGGGGCGGGCGTGGTCCCAAGCTACACGCACGGACAATAACTTCCGAAGTCGCATAAACCAGCCGCAACGTCTCACTTAATGAGCGGCTTGATTAACCCCACCACACTGCGCTACCAGGGCTAACGCCAAACGCGTTATTTAGCGATGGATTTACGAGCGAAGATTGCGCGCAAATGAACGCGCGTATAAGGCGCCAGGGCACAAACGACAGGAACTTTTTTGAAATCCTTAGCTACTACCGCCATCAATTTTTTACCTTTGCCTCTCATGTAGGTATACTTACAGAAGACATTGGTATGCTGTATACTAACAGAAAAGTATTTCTACATTTTTTTTCCATATATCAGAAAGAGTTCCTTGATGAATAAATTGAAGGATTTATGGATTTGATTGATAATTTTTTAATTATATTAAAATTTTATGACATTGTTGATCATGATTATTGTTCCACACTACATCATTACAGTATCTCTGTGTATGCATAAGGCCATGCCGTAATAGGCTAAGTTACCCTGACGCTTCGGATAAATTATACCCTTTTAATTCGCACCGTCCAACTTTCTTGGTCTTCCGTACTTAATTGGACATGGATCGACGATGTTCTGCCTATTTTAGTCTTGTGTTTCCTTAATGCATTGTCGATGAAGGAGAAACGCACTTTTCATCTCGTCACTTTTATAGCTCGATATATTTGGTTCTCTTCGGTACGACCTGCGACGAGGTACAATTTTCACCAGCAGACGTAATATCACGTCCGGTTTAATTCCGGTGACAAAAGGAAATCCTTCGAGCCGGATTTGAACCAGCGACCTATGGATGTCTTTTACATTACTTTCCAACTACAGTCCACCGCTCTACCAACTGAGCTATCGAAGGTGATATTAATGATTTCGACCGCGAAAGTTACTGGGAACGCTTAAAAGTAGGTTAACACCGGAGGCGCGAAAATAAACAGGGGATAGTACATGCCTAGTTCACATTACTTGGAGCCATAGATTATCATTGCGAAACGGCAGAATTAATTTGAGAATTACTAGAATTTAGAAACACTGATAACAGTCTTATACATTCTTTTAGTCGTTATCAGTCTTTAGAACGTATATCTATCAGCCTCATAGATTTTAAATCATATTGAATTACGTAAATACGTACTTAATTAAGAATCACGATAATAAATTCAATGGATTCAACATAATATTACCTAATAACACGCGATATCCATTTTTCATATAAAATCAACATAATCATCAGAATAAAAATATGAATAATCGTTATCGCCATTTAATCGGTCTTTATTCGTTTATCATTTACCCTTACGGAAGAATCGTGATCTCACACGTTCCAAGAAGATAAGACGACAAGACGATCGATATCCGATGTAACTGGATTGGAATAGAGGGGAGCACGTTGAATCTTAAGGAATATAGATCGAACGAGACACCTGTTTGTCAGGTTTTGGCGATGAAAAATGTACGAAGCGTGGCACGTGAAGCGGGAACAAGACGACATCCGACAAAGCGAAGCCGAGACACGAGAAACACACGGAAGATTAAAGCGACTCTCGCTTGTGATCCACGAGCGTGCGTGCTTTCTGTGTTACGGTGTTAGGTAAGTCCAGCACCTACCTTAACATAGGTGTATCGGCACGAAAAGGCCAATAACAATCGCATAAATAATCGATATTTATATCGTTACTTCATCTGCGAAGCTCCTGGTACGGGGAGCAGATGTCCTGTGAGGTTTGGCTATAAAAAAGCCTGAATAAAGTCTTTAACCGATAAACTGACAATCGGAATCACCGTTCCAATTAAATAATATGCATTGAACAATTTGGTTCCGTTGCCTTATTCACTTGATTCGCGAAAGATCGCAGTTGGACGGCTGAACACCTTGGGATCAGGCATTTGTAATTATCGCAAAATAATTGTCTCGAAAGAAAATAAGCGTCAAGGCAATCTTACAAGTGTCGAATACACATGATAGCACCTAAGGTGGATAATCGATTTAATAGATATACCAGAGACCGGCAATGCACGCGTACGTGCAGCATTAATAATTAATAGCAGGCATTAAACGCAGCTTCTAATTATGGGTTTGAGACTATTAAGCAACCGTCCGATGGGTAAAATAAGAGCAGTTCAACTGTTGGATCGAAACTGGCTGGGCCGGACACACTGCACGCCGGCAGATGCACACACACGATCGGCCCTCTGATCCAACTGCCTTTAACTCTTCGTTATTTTGATTTCTATACTTATTTATTTGCTGGCTGCCTTCTGCCTATCTGCCAGCTCCTTTAACACTCTACTTATCCAATAGGAGGATATAGTGAACCAGGCGTTTAAATTGGCTCAAGCCGTATTATAGTCGAGAAAATATTTGCTGGCAGTGACAATCAGCTGCCAGAATAATGCTATAGAGTATATTAACTCTTTCCTTCGAGAAAGGCTGCTACAGTTACACTGGTCTGATTTATGAGTCCGATCTAGTCCAATTGCACCCACGTACCAATTCCGACAGTGCGAAATCAATGGCTCAAGCTTAGGGGAGAATCGGCCTGATTTAATGAACTCAACGTATGAGCATTTAATCAGTATTAGCCAACCGTGGGAAAAGGGTTTCCTTTCGGGCTAATCATTCACTCATTCGATCCCCCTTCTGTAAGACTCCATTAATCCTATGACGTTTTACGTGAAATATCAGAAAATTAAATTCGCACGAGATATAAAATCAATATGAGAAAGAAGGGAAGTTAATTGACCGGGAACGGTTTGTTTTGCTACGTTTAAGACAGGTGAAAGATTCCATCCTATAACGGAGGAAGGAGGACAATAAAAAGAAGATGAATCAAGGAACAGAGTATAGCTGTATAGTACCTACCCGTAGAACACCGTGTATAGTGTATAGTATAAAAGTTTAAAGGAAAGAAGGCAGAGGAGGAATGAATGGCGAAATTGGTCGAATCCTTTCTTGCTCCGTTCTCCATTACCAATGTTACAGTATATTTACAACGTTGCACGATGCATGATGTCCGGACCCTACTCACATACGATCCTAATTGTTATGGCTCTACGGAGCAATAACCGCGTGCTTTATGGTGGTGTCCGTTGCGCCGAGCGGCGCGGCGCACCTCAGGCATGGTAATTGTTATGTTTGGAAAAAGTCTGGTATGACGAGACAGACGGAAGCAGGGGTGAATATGGAATTAACCGTGTATCATCTTGAATTCTTGCGCCTCGTGTAACATACGTCATGACCAAATTGTTCAGACCGCGCGAAGAAATATAAATGGGAATTACACCAAGAGATAAGACATTCCATTGCGTGTCCCGGGTCATCTTTTACAAAGATGTATAAGGCGGGAGGAATTCCATTTTGAGATACTTTTTATCTCGCACTCTCGGGTTTGTTATACGGAAACGACATAGCACCCAGTGCTATTATCACTTTCTTAAACATTTGCCATACACTGTAGGAAGGATTAATCGCGTTTTAAGAACCCGCTGTCTGTCACGGCAGTGATGCCAGATAGCAGAATTTGTCTTTTATGTGGAATTTTTCTTGCGCATTTGCGATGGGTAATCTCATTGAGTGTCATGGATATTATTGTATTTGCTTTTCCCAATTTTTTTTTTATTTAAGACTTCGACTTTCTGTACGAGCTCTCACTGCTATTATTGCAATGTATTTAAATCGACTTTGAATTTAAAGCAATATATAATTTATTCCGAAATTTTTTAAATTCAATCCAACTTGGCCAAGCAAATTAACACGGCCAACCGATTTGGTAGATCTACCCACTTTACAGTAAGACGTGCGCGCGCGGTTGGCTAAGTGTTAAGATACTCGTTACTGATTCCATTTTTGTCCTACTTTTCATGTCGCTGACAATTGAATATATACTCTCAACTTCTACATTTGGATTGCGGGAGGAACAGAATCAATTGCACGAATAAAATTGAAAATATTTGTTTTTTTTATTATTGCCTTCCGATTCCTGTACTTTCTTCGAGAATTCATTGTCTTCCCAAATGATTAATTTCTTTATTTGCTATTTTAAGCAATAAACAAGTAAATAATAAAAGTAAGTTTTGCCAATGTCTGGTATTATATTAACCATATTTTATGGCTAAATTTATATTTAACATGGGAGTTATAATTTTGTTATAGTGTGGATGATACAATTATGCATAAAGATTCGTTAGCAGCCGATTGATCCGATCACCATCTCTTTGAAGATTTGGTGGTAGTGTCTGTCGATTTACCACAAATATTTCGTGCACAGCATTGTGGAAATGAAATATCGTTATTCTGTCGAATATGCTTTATTATTTTCCTTCCTATGCACGGGTCTACCAGGCATCTGAACTATGAAATTCGTAGATAAATATTCCTTGTATATAACTGTACTGTAAATGACTGAGAGCAATAGCAAAATAATTTACCGATGATCAAAGACACCTCTGCACCATCCTAAAAAAAAAAGAAATAAATATAAGGTAAATTTGATTAGATAAGGTAAAGGATAGATAAAGGATTATGAATAAAAATAAGTAATAACTTTAAATTTATATCGACCGTGTTAAGTCGTCAAATAGACCATGTAGCTAAACCGTAAAATTCCACAGATTCGTTTTTACTGTTACTTACTTTGCGCAGATACTTCTCCACTAAGAGCAAAAATAACTATAGCCAACACAGTCAACTAGAATATGATTTTCATGATGGCAACTGCGAGACTCGTTCGACCGGAACAACTCAAATTGAATACTGATAACTTCTTCGCTCGTCTTCCTTAAACATTCCTTTATGGCCATTAAGTAACGTTAACTGTATACATCTGACTAACAATAAGTACTCCGTATAAACAGGGTATTCCCCGAATTAAGTAAGCCGAACAGATGAGTCGGTACTTTCCTCGCTTACATCTCGAGAACAACAGGAGAGATTACACAAATTCATATAGTCGCATAAGAATGCTTATGAAGCGTTTGCTACATAGCGATAAAAATTCTTGCAAAATTTGCGTAACATTTATAAAAAAAAGTCAATTCGGAAAAAATGTAAATTTTTTAAAGTGAAAAATAAAAAACAGCTGATCAGTCAGTTAAATAGTTATCAAAAACACGATATAATAGAAAAATATACGTTAAACATATAATGAATCTGTATTAAAGTATAGTTTACAATATAAAAACTATATTTTTTCAAAACATATGGTGCATATATTAAAAAATAAGTCACTTTTTGCCGCTTTATATGATTACATATAAATGTTATTTTCATCCGGGAAAGCACGTTCTTGAATAAATTCAGAGTTGATCGACCGTGCATGTTTAGACACAGAACAGAAAATCACACATTAAGGAATTTTCTGTAGTTATATGTAACACATACGTATCCGCGTCAAGGTGTGGAACACGTTTACCCCCACTATCAGACAATATTGTATCATTTCGTTTACGACAAGACAAAACCTACCTTATATGACATCGACCGAGAGAATAACATTAATTGCTTGTAATTCGCAGAAATAATAAGCCTCACGCTGGTATGAAGGTAAGAAGTACTGACTGCAGGTGCTTCGTTTGCGGTACAGTTCGTTTAGTATAAACGCGGCATAAATAACGCAAATGGGGAAGCCGACACGCGGTAAAAAGCATTGAGTGCAAAGCTAACTTAATTGTAAGTACTTTGAGTCGTAACGCGATATTTATATTGACTACTATGCACGAAGCCTTAGGCTTTCATAGTCTGTATCTGTAAGGCGCGTGTCTGAATATTAACGCGAGTTGATAAGTCTTTCAGACATATTTTGCCTGGCAGATTCGCCCGGTCGATTCGGGTGCGTACCTTCTTCCTTTATCGTTATCTCTATCTGATTCCTCTTCTTGTTCCTTTTCTGCTTCGTTTCCTTCTTCCAACATCGTGACCTCCTTTTCTGTTCTCTTCTTCATCCACCTCGGTTTCTTCTTCTCTTCCTCCTTGATGCGCTTCGTTAAATATCACACAATTAGTTAAATACTTAGCGAGGATTTTCGAATGTTAATTTCTCATGCTAGCCTTGTATTATCGTAATGCGCAAACAAGAAATGCATAATACTGTAATGGTAGAAACTGCGTGCTTCGACGATTTCCCAAACGCACCGACGCTCTCCCTACGTCAGTGTAGTATTTACTGATCTATATAGAAGCCTGGTACAACTTCAAATGCATTAGTCGGATTAAAAAGCGCCTCAGTAAAAATGATCAAGTATCAGAGATGTCGGGGACCAGTCTGGCGTACATCTATTTGGACTCGATTAAATACTTATCAGTTAAATATACTATCAGTCAAGAATTCTAAGAGTCAAGATTAGATCGATCTATATGTATCATTTTTTGTTAGAAAAACGTATGCAGAGATTTTAAATCTTAGAAAAGTATGGAACAGTGCCATACAATATTGATGCGTTTTAATAGAACAGTCCTGCATAGGTAAGTGGACATACTTTCCAACTATACGGTAAGGCAAGTAACAGCATTCCGTCGTTTTCTCGAGGTGCCCCATGTGTTCTGAACAAAATTCAAAAAAGTGTTTTACGATGATCTAAGAGAAGTCGATCTTACAAGAGATTCCCAGCCATTAGCCGATGTAAACAGCGTAGAAATTCATCCCTCCTACAGGCTTCTCCAAGAGCATTATTCATTTAAATGTGAGAACCACGAGCAGAGCCACTGACAATGACGAACGTCCTATAGTATTTCTGGTAAGCTGGAGAATAGACACCATTTCGTGTATAAGCTTCCGACATTTCAAGAAAGGAAGTCAGATGCGCAAGGAGCTCTTCGCGAAGTATAATAAAGTAGAGAAATATTGTAGGACGAGTAAAGTGGATCTTTAAGAAAATCGATATCTAATCCATAAGGCAATTCGATCTTGGGGTTCGCACCCTGGGGATGACGTACGGGTCTGACGCAGCGTGTGGCATTCTCCCCTTTTTTTAATCCTCGGCCCCACCCCAATTCCTCTAAGATGTAAACCAGCCCCAAACGAGCCGCGGCGAATAAATATTTGAATTACAATCTGAGCCGCTCGTAAAAACGTCGTCACTCGTAACGGATAGTGCGCTCTTGTGTTACACCGACGCCGTTCCAGCTATTTACAGACGCACGGGGATACCAGCGCCTCCTACTTATGGCGAGGACGTGCAAAACTGGCCCCCGCTACGTTTACTTCGCTGACGGGGAACCTGATGGTGATGGTGTATCAGAGTATCAAGCTGTCGGAGTATCGGAGCATCTCGGCATCGGAGTATCAGTGCTGGAGGTCACCCACTGCGAGATATACCGGATCTCCTCAGGGCGCCTGCACTGTGAGGCCCCGCAAGATCCTCCAGGAATTAAATCCCGAATAAGGATCGAGAAAGTCGCCTCTTTTAAAAACACACGACTCTCGCGACAAATCTACGCGTTTCAAATGTTCTTAAGCAGACTAAGTTTTTAGGCCAAAGACGGTTTAAATGAACGACACCTGTTCGGCTAGAAGAGGCTAAAAGAAGAAAATATCTGTAAATTATTTTTTTAACTGGATAAATTATCCAAGATCGCTCTACCTGCATAGAGTACCAATGTGAATACATACGAATCCTCGTACCTCATATCGAGCCTGTAATTACAACGATGTCTATCGTGCTCCGCTTTCCTCGTATTCCGCGTGCAACCTACCGAAGACACGGCTGCTGAACAGTGGCACGCAAAGTACCCAGTGCAACGATACAGGAACGGAAGCGCTCAGAGAGTGCTCAGCGATTGGACCTCGGCATAAACTATCAACACCATTTAAACTGAACTCTTGTCGTAGATACCATTGACAATATTTCATATGCACAATTGGTATAGTCCACCTAATGTAAATCGAGGATTCTTGTAAGACCGGCTTTGACTCTACTACTATATACAAGATACGATTCTGGTGAGGGTAGTCACCAAGATACTAACACGTGTCTCTGCCAGACGAAAGGGCCACTACACTCGGCCACGTTGTTCCAAGAATAATTTGTTCCTGGAATAATTTGTTAGTGATACGGACTGCGGTATTAAATAGTAGGAGGAATGCAAAAAGCTTGTTGCACGTATGAAAACGAAGTCTCTTACTCTTTCGCTGTATGCTCCTACCTACTCTTCTCGTGCCGTAGGTGTCACCGGTTGACACTGGGATACATATGTTTCGGGTGAACTATACTAAATTCATAATTCGTACTAACAAATCAACCACGGAGACTTATGACGAGAATAAGTGACAGAAATGAATTTTATTTCAAATAAATGGCAAACATTTTTTTCGATAAAATTAAATGCTCCGAATGAGCGTAAATATCAGTTTTGAGTATATTAGCCTAAGAGGATTCACCGTATTATGGTTACCGTCTTATGCAAAATGTTAATGGGCACTCCGACAAAGCAGCGCCGATTCTTTCAAGATTTGATACCAGCATAAACCAAGGACTCCCCAGAATCGCGATGTTTATGTACCGACCTTACTAATTTACAGCGAGCGTCCCGGCCGTATGTTGCTCTGAGTTACTTTTAATTGCTTTTTGATTTAGCTGTTGACTCATACGCCTTCTCTTATACATCCCAAGAACCTAAGAAATATCCGTAGCGTCACAGATATTTTCTTGGATCCTCCATAGGTACTACCGTAAGGGGATACAATGTAATTTTTAATTTTTGTCCTTTTTACATAATACTTCAATATACGTACATACGCTCCTGGTAAAGGGGGTTACCTTAACGCGTAAACCTTAACGATACCTTTGAAATGAACAACGCCAAAGAATCATTCTCGTTTATAATCCCATACTGGCTATTAATAACCTAACTTGTTACTACATTGCTTGGTCGTTGGTAGGAACACCTCGCTCCCAGCAGGCAGCGTGCCCCAAGATGGACCCCTGCTTCTTCTCGTATACCGACTTGATTCGAATCACTAATTTCATGGCTTGTTACTTGGGTATTAGAGGGTGATCCATGTAAAATAGCATAAGACCATAAGTGTCACACTTCAGAATTGGAGTAGATCATTCTAGACCACCTAGCCACTTAAAGTCGTGTATTATTTATCTTTATTATTGGCGAATCGATAGGTCAGTAAGAATTTATAAAATTTCTTTTCAAAGTACAAAATGCCGAAAACCAACATTTTTGTGTTAATTAAAAAAATTTAATTATTTACTTATAACGATCCAAAACCTTGAACAAACACTGGTCTACTTATATTTGAATTAACAACTGTTCGTCATCAACTCTATTTGGCAGGTGACTCAAAGTGGGCCTTAGTTTTATCAATGAGGCCCATCGATCTTGGTCTGCGAGTTCACATTCAGCCCTTAATCAGGCTACTTACCTAACACCGATGCCATCGCGAATTAGCCCGATCCGGAGAGACGCGCTTCGATTGCAAACGATTAATGCTGCAGGCTGCGGCTCCGCCTGAATAAGAGCGAGTCGAACGAGCAGGTTCGTTATTATAGGCACCAATTTGTGCAGCGATCCACAAGATAAGCGGCCGATCAGCCGCATCTGATTATCGAGAACGGATCGCACGGCGACGAGGAGGACAACGAGAGCCGCCTTGGGCTTTTGCCGATGCCGAGGGTGACGTCGATTAATGGAGACGCGTGCCAACCGTTCTAACTGGAGGATCCGCACGGTAGCTATACCTACTGGCATCTTTTCTCGGCTTTTTAATATCACGTCCATAGTGGAGCTAACGGTACGAAACGTATAACACGATAAGGAGAACCTTTCGAAAGGATATGAAATCCCTATGTCAAATCCCCAAGTACATTTTCTCTTATATAAATAACCATAATTCGTCCGCAGTAAGAAAGCTTGCTGTACAAAAAAAGAAGCTCCACAGTAGATCTATGAACCATCTGCTAAGGGTGGTCTATGAAAGTCAGTCAATTGTGAGAATTATAGATTTCAATATAGACAGCAGTCGATGATACAAATTTACTACAAGTCTTATCTGTACCAACTGTATCTATGAGTATCGGAGAAGTCGAGTAAAAAAGAAGTAGCTAATAATACACGCTGCTCGATCGTAGTAGATTTTCGTTACTCAATACAAAATCTGTACACGCATCGTCGATCGTCCCAATTTACAGACTTTTGCCAGACTTACTGTACCAGATAGTTTATAGATCTGCCGAATTTTTGTTTATCGGTTATTTAAAATACCAAAAATGGAGTGACACCGTCTTCATTAACGGCGACACTCGGTCGATAATTATTTATTTTATTTTCGTTGAGAGACGTAAGAAAGACAGGTCCGACAGGATGCAGGCGACGCTATATCCTACCGACGCCACCTGCCACTCCTACCTTCCGACGCTCAGCGCTTTTTGCTTCCTTCCTTCCTATCTACCTTTCGTCCTCTTCTTCTTCTTCTTCTTCTTCATCTTCCGACGAATTATCCTTTCCGGGGTTGCTGCTTTTTCGGGATCGCATTCCCGCCGTATGGCTGCGGCATGATTGTCCTCAAAAAAGAAGAAGTAATTATTTAATTGAAATGACTCGAGAGACGAGCTGAACTCTTTTATCGGCATCAAAGAACCGTTTTAAATGGCGACAAGAGTTCTTGGTTGATATTTGTATAAAAGTAGCTTCAAGCATGGAAAATAAATGTTATGCAGTGCACGTTATGTCATCTTATACGTCGCTGCTTAAATGAGTTCGGGAATGATAGATGTAATAGGTAGCGGTATAAATCAGCATACTCGTGTATTCTATTATTTACGTGCTTTTAATGATTATTCATAGAAGCAGATGCTAGGCTCATATTACGACCTAACACGAGCTGAGGCCCACGCCGGGACACAAGTAGATATATTTATGAGCACATTAGAGGCTGCCACAACGCCACGAAACAAATACACACTTTTCTTTCAGTCCAATAGCTATTAGTGTATTTATGAACGCTTCGTATCAGTCTTTTAAATCATGATCAGCTTTACTGACGATTCGCACGGCGTGCAGCAAATGTCTTTCGAGTCATCGTAAACATAAATACCTACACCATAGCCGCGAACAGACCCGTATTTAATATTTGAGAATACCACCCACCTAGTTTTCTTAATTTTATTTCTTTTCCGCTTCTTCGTGGTCATTGCGAACCTGCTGCATTACCTTTTTGTTTAAAAAAAAATTTCTCAAGTTCATGATATTGAGGATGCATTTAAGCAGGTTCGCTTTTACTTTCCAGCCAGTCGACCGTAAGTTGATGTGTCGTTTACGAACCTGCCTGCACCACATTTTTATTTGGAGACAGGAAAGGGTAGTGAGCTTGATAGGGCCAGTCAGCTGAGATCGGTATAATTGGGCCGAGCAAGCAGCCGGTGTAGCAAGATTCCAATGGAACCCGTTCCCCACTGTGTATATTCCTTCAGGTTCGCAAAGGGATCGAGCCGACGCATAGTTTCAGTCTGCCACTTTTGTCAATCGCGAGTTCCGCGTGTCGCTCAGTGAATAGTTAATACCGAGGAGTGAATTGAATTGCTCCGAAATTATTAAATTTTTTAATAACGATTCTCTGTAAGAAATCTAGTTAGAAAATCCATGTAATAGTACTGTGTGTTTAAATCGCGATACCGTACGTTGTTTAAATTGGAACAGTCGCATGAGCAATAGAAACATTGGTATTGTTAACCTATCAAATTTTCAGTTAGTTCCTATGCGTTTAATATATGTTAGAAAAAAAGTAGGATAATCGTAAGAATATGTAAATTCAGAGTAGTGGCATACCATTTATCAGACATTTTATTTCTCTTATTTTTACGTCCTACTAATTTCTCCCTTTCTCCCGCACACCCTAATGAAATGTTTTATGGAGTGACGTATACCAGGCTACGAATGGGTATAGCGAGTCTTTTGAACTATGGAAACATAAAATAATAAATGCCAAACGCAGCCGTCTAATAGATAAGACTTTTCACGAACGAGTAATATATTTGACTTGGAAATTTTTCAGTGTATACGTTAAGGGGAGCAACGACCCTTTATTTTCAAGCGACGTTGTATATTTTAGTTGCGAATCTTTATAACTCGGAAAATCATAGCTGCAACCCGTGAAGAATTTTTCTGTATTAAAGCCGACGAGTATTAAAATATGATTTTGCCATGATATCGAGTTACCTGTTCGCTCGTCTTACGAACAGAGATCGGATGACCATCGGCTTTCTGTAATCATTGCGTTTTCACAATCACCACGTATAAATCAAAGGACCCTAAACAATAAAACAGTAAAATTCGTATCACGCCAGAGACATAAATCCATGCGTATCATAGTTACGTATTCGTGGTATACATCAACCTCTAACTTTTTAGCCCCACCTACACGTGGGTATATCTGATTAAACCGAGTCTATAGCACCTCTATATGCCTATAGTTACGTACGTACCAGGTGAACAGTCTACTTAGCTAGTTACCCATTCGATAATTATATCGCAGTTATTAATACACACGTATGGAGACTAATATCGGTTGAAACGAATTACAGCCTTATTAATATTGTCGATGACACCTATAGAATTTTCGTCTGAAATTTTTGTTGAGATTTTTTTAAAACAACACAGCTGATCGAGCGGCTGCAATTTGTTAATTACCAATAAATAGCAGGTTCAAGTCTTTTTTTATATAATTCGTATTTCAACTGAAATCATGTTCCCTAACATTTTAATAATCTTGAACGATAAGATAGATTTTTTAAGTAAATAAACTTTTATGTATTTTCGAAATTATGAAAACAAAATAATTGAACCGGTCCAGTTTCAAAGAGAAAATTATGATAGTACATTTTTTCTTAATATTTTAAGAAAACTTGGAACATCCAACCATACTGATTTTTTTTTTCAAATTACGTAATTTATAGTAATTTGTAATATGTGTGTAGGATGGATACTGTAATGTACGTATAATTAATTATTATAGTGGGTTTATGTTACATGTACATAGCCAACTGTATGAAGCACGCGTGCAACTAGATGCATAGTAGGCTTTCATAATTTAGTTGTTGGAAAAATGGAATATCTTGTTGCTATGTCAGATAACCGTCGTTGAAAAAAACTGACGATTACGCTGATGGATTGCCAACGAGTGAAGTTGCATTTCAGGATTGCTGATAGGCCTTTTAGATGGAGAGACATTCTTTTTTCGATTCGTGTTCACTGGGAAGTTAAGGGACCAGGGTGAATTAACATTACCTGCTCGCGATGCATATTGCAGTGAATAAAATAGTTGGGTTATATGTTATAGCGAATGTGGAAAAAGTGTAATTGATAAGGATATACATATATACATTATACATATATGATCGTAAACGTGTGCATATGACAAGTGCATAATGCCACAAGTAGTTGTAGACGTACAGTGACTTTTCATTATACTTTTTGATCCCCAGATATTCCACTAAATAATAAAAAAATACATACATATATATAACCGGGACAATTTTCTATTCTATAACAACGAATCAATAAACTATATTGTTAATGGGCTTTCCAGGGATTCCAAGTTTTTCAAAATCATGTTGTTTGAAGATGAATAAAAGATGGATAAGTAGAAAAGAAAATATTGCATCTACTGTATGATTACCCTTATGCCATAATGTGAATTGAATGAAAGCCAACCAACCTTCGTATAAAGACCTTATACTTTACGCCACTGTATACAAGACGCACAGTGCAGCCTAGCGACAGGCGCGACCCCGGAAATCCCCCACCCTCGTTCAAGACCACAAATCGTCCCGGAAGTGGGGATGAAGGCGGGAATTACAAAGGTACCTCCCCTTGGCTCCACGCGCTTCCCAATACGCCGTTCCCACTCGACACGCATTGCAGTTTGCATCTCGATGCATTAATACCTATATTCGTTTTAGCGACGATCAGTTTCGATCAATCTCGCAGATTCGGCAGGACACGTTCGCGCAATGTGTACTGCAGAATATTACGCGAATGCAGACACGACGTGAAACGAATAAGAAATAATAGAACAAAAAATAATAGAAAATATATTCTAGGCAAATGAAGGAAAAAAGTATTTTTTATTTTTTATACGAAATTTAACAACTTACTAATTTATTTATAATTATACAAAACGTTGCGCAAAGTACTAATTAGGGTATCCCTACATGCAGGTTATTTCGAATGTAAATTAAATATATGATCCATTAAACTGAAAGCAATAAATTTTCTTGAGATACTTCATATCCGTTTATAGAATAAACTTACCCGTTTCCGGCTAATTCCTCAAAATCTTCGCGTATCAAAGTCTCGTATAAAAAAAAATTGGCCAGTCTCAGCAGCGGCTAGGTCAGGAAGATTGTATCGCAATTTTAATAACTAGCTGCACGCCCACAACGAATGCATTCCAGACGACATAAACGTTCCATATAAGATACGCCAAGTGTGATATGGACGTAGCTACATGGTTCGCCGTTGTGAACGCATCCTGTGTACGTTTGGCGCTTATCTGCATTGCGTCGTTTTCCAAGCGCAGTTGCATTGTTGCCCCTACTGCACTAAAATTGTTGCATGCATCAGACGTGTGGATAAATATATGAAATATTACGTATAGCACCGAAATATAGGTTTTACTGAAAACATAAAATTCTAGAGTTATCTATATATCGGATTAATATCCTGATACGTGTATTCCAGAAAATCACATAAAATTCCTCGTGAACGAAATGGGTCAATTCGTTCTGAAACACATGCATAGGCTTGATTGCATTCTACTTACGTGCGATCCTCAATTTACGCACTCGAGTGGGATATAATTAACGACCGATCAAACTGTCAGCCAGCAAACTTAAACTTAGCCTACATAGGAAGGCTCTTGACGCCCCTGTTTCAAACTGTTTACTAAAGTTTGCCCTAACTAGTTACGGACTGGGCTCGTGTGCGCGATTGAGTTAATAATCGCATTGGGTGCGTATATATCTAATATATAGTCTGAAAATATATACTATATACATATATATAGTATATAATACTAATAAAATTTGGTGCACTTATTAACAGTAATAAAAAGCATCGAGTAGATCTCATAGATCAGAGTTCTGTTGGATCGATGAGACGCGAATTATTTTTTCAATTCAGATTCGTTATAGTGATGCTGCGTGGTCCTGGGACATGTAAATAGAGCACCTGCCTCGGTGCCGGATACCGACAAATAAAAATGCCGGCTTAACTCTCAAAAAGAGAATTAAAAAAAAATTTTTAAAGAAAAAGGTCGCCAATATCTGCACTGTGCACGGTGGTAAAAATCTGCATGTTTTACCATGAGCCTCATTAGAGTTTAATAGTGACAAGAGAGAGTTTTGGATTATTTAAACTGGCGGAGAATTATGAAAATAATAATGTTAATACGTGTGCCCAGTGCTTGCATGTGCACTTGTCAGTTTAACATATGTACGTGCATAGGGTATATCGTAAACCGTGTTATGCGGACCTATAAACGGGCACTGCATGAATATATGAGGGCAAGTAATAAAACTGTGTGTATCTTACATATTATGCGCTAATTATCGTAATCTCAAATCTGATTATTACGCAGTAAAAATATCTGCGAACCTGCAGGAGCCGCTACGCTTCTCTTACTGACTTTATAAGCTTTTAATAATAATCAGAAGCGGCTATGATAATCGTTGGCAACTTCCGGTTTTACGATTGCACTTCAAATTGATGACCGATAATAACATGGCTTCATTAGTCTTTTATTGCGAAGCAAATACACGCTTTGCGTATGTGGATATATGTGTTTGATACAGTTTAAGCAAATTTGCTTTAGTAAGACATAAGAAGAGTCATTGGTGGCAGTCGGTTATAATGGCCATCATTAATGTGCAATGTATCACAAAAGTATTTGCTGCAAGCAATCAAAAAACAATAATATTCACTTTGTGTATTTATAGAATACAATCATTGATCGTACCGGAAATTAAAAGCTTTCAAGTAATGTTGATTGTTAACGCTTTTCTATAAGTATGGATCTTTATTTGTAAAGTAAGGAGATATATTAATTTTGAAATTGCAATTATTTTTTATTTATGACTTATTTATTGTGAACTGTGTGCTGTTATATTAAATCAGTCAAACTGTTAGCCACGTTATGCGTATATAGTAGATTTAATGATTAAAAGGATATCTATGATGCATCAATAAGTTTTGTACATTTTTACAAACTATATTGCACATGTTGACTATTTCTTATGTAAATATTATAAATTTACGTAGTTAATAAGTGTAATTTCATTGCAATTGGGTTGTTATAAGTAATTAGGGTCTGTGGGTGTATATTGCAATCAATTTTTATAAGCCTTCGATAGCTCAGTTGGTAGAGCGGTGGACTGTAGTTGGAAAGTAGTATGAAACGAGACATCCATAGGTCGCTGGTTCAAATCCGGCTCGAAGGATACTTTTTTTTTTCATAAAGAATGAACAATAAACGTAAAATAAAGTATTAATCAAAATAGTGCATATGGTACAATAATTTTACAATAAAATAATATCCAGTTTCACCTGTAATCAATAAGATCCAAATTCAGCAAAGTAATTAGATCTCGTGTTAATTGCAGTAATAACTATACAGCTGCATGGCCATTTTAATCGTTCATAGTCTCATATATTATCATAAGTAATTGCTCTTCGTTAAAGCAACCCCTCAATCAGTGAAGTCAATTAAATTTATTACAGATCGTGCTCGATTGTATTTATAATATATTTTATGTTTTAATCGTACGCAGTTTGCGTTGACGACAGTTTATTAAAGAATTTTGACGAATTATGGAGACGTGTATAGCCATTTTGGTAACGTGCTGTTGTATGTCTAGTCGAAGAAAGTGAAAAAAATATCTTTAACATATTGATCCTTCACGAAATCGTTTGGTAAAACACAATTCGCTCTGGATAGTCATCTGTATCGAAAATGATGTAAAATGTTTCGGGGTGACAATGACGTCCGGGAAGCTATGACTTCGCCCGTATTTCAGCATTAGTATTTAAAGGTGAAATCTATTGTGGACCCGACGTGTCTCACTTACAGTTAAATTCGATTCGGAATGGTTAGGACTATTATAGGTACACATTTCTGTTTCGAAGCGGCTGACACTGGCCGTTCGCTAGCTTTCGCTCTGGACAGCACAATGGCTCCAATTACTTTAATTGCAGTTCAGTCGGTTGGATGCGAAAGCTTCCAGGTAACCATTGGCCAACCGGAAGTAGATTTAAACGGGGCAGAACAATTGGCCCTTTTTTTCAATGCGTCGCCCAGCCATTCCGCCAATTTTTTCGAACGGACGTTGACACTTTTTTATAATTTTGCAACAAGACGATATTTAATCGATGATCGTGCGAATTCTCGACATCAAGTTGTTTCGTGCAAACTTAAATATTTAGAGTGGGGTATAACGAATTATATTCCTCAGAGAAACCACAAGTTCTTACAAGCCGAAATAGCTCAGTTGGGAGAGCGTTAGACTGAAGATCTAAATGTCCCCGGTTCAATCCCGGGTTTCGGCAATTGTGTTGTCTATATTTTTTATTTTTTTTTTGATATTATATTAAAGGCTATTTTTCTGATTTCATAATTTTACATAGAAATGGATGTAATAGGATTTAATTTTACTATAATTATAGAAATTATGAAATTAAATTATAACTTAGAATCGTTTTTTTGTATAATTAATGACTTTAATATTTAATAAGAAAATTAGTATAGATATACCAATTTTATTGAAAGGTCTTGTACTGTTTTTTATGGTTTTTCCAAATCATTAGTATTCTCCGCGCTTACCCGGACAACATATTCGAGAACTGCCATTCTTTGTTTTATTGGAGCAATAAGATGTGAAACTTCTGCTCGAACTATCAAAACAGGATAAATGTCCTGTTTGTTGAGCACATTCCGTTTTTTCACCAGGTGGTATAAATTCCTTCATGACGTAAACCATAGCGCAAGTACACATCACCGCCAAAACACCTAAAAGGACTGCGATCTATGATAATTTTATTAATTAAGGATAAACGAATAGTGAAAACTAAATTCTTCCTAATATATATCTTTTAATACTTTCTTTAAATAAAAATCAAAAGTCCGTAAAATTCTGTGGTGACTAGAAACTCTAACAAGCTGCAATTAATAACCATCCTCAGACATATTTGCTAAAATTGACAATATCATTAGTCATAATCGAACTTGAAAAATGTATAAATAAATAATAATCGCATAAAAGTTAATATTATTATTTTTATAATAATCAGTTTTTTCACGTGTAAGTGAAATACGTTCTTTTCGAAAACATGGATACAACGGTCCCATGGTGTAATGGTTAGCACTCTGGACTTTGAATCCAGCGATCCGAGTTCAAATCTCGGTGGGACCTTGACCATGACTAGAATACTTTTTTTTTTAATTTATCATAAAAATAATTTTGCCGACTTTCGTTGTATGATTACCAGCAAGTCATTAGTTATCGTTATCTCGTGGATATCATAAAAATAGAACGACGAATATTCAAGAATGTAGAAACGTATATGGCATAACCCGATAAATGCACAAGCCATTAAATAACGATATACGATGACAAGAATTTTAAAATAATCCAACTTAAAAGGATACAATAACGAGGGATAATTTCAGACTTCGGTTATGCAATCGAGGAAAATATAACATCTGTACGTTGCACATATGAATATATTCTGTGGTGGGTTCAATATTTCCCAAAGAATGAGAAGTCCAACCTTCATCGCATATGCAAAAACCGGTGGTATTATCCGAATAACCATGATGACAATACATATTCTGCAAATAAAAATTATTTAATTTCTCAAATTTGCACATTCTTATTAGTCCGTTAACTAACCGCTATGTGTGGTACGATTTCTGATCTCCAAGCAGGCTCAGCATTTCCTCGACTCAATGCTCGTACTTCCATCTCGTTTATCGCGTTTTCCAAGTCTCGGCAGGTATTACTCGCCGGTACGTAACCCTGAAAATGCGTAAAAACATAGAACCAAACGCAGTCAATGAAGGTCTGCAATTTTTGTGCAAATTTGAATTCCGTAGAAAAAATAAAAGTTAACGTAAAATTATAACTATTCGTGTATTAAATAAAGAAATATGACATTTCAATGTTATATACTTTAGGAACAATATCGTTATCATATGTTATCAGTTATCACGTTTTCATTTAATATACTGAGACGTGGTAAAGACCATATCGTTAAAAAAGACATAAACATGAGAATTAGTTATTACTCAAGAAAACTGCTTACAATATAAGCGTCTCAACCTTTGGAATATGAACTAAGCGAAAATTCATAATTAAGACAAGTAGCCGTATGTAAGTAACATAACAGACCATAAATTTGATAATAAATCGTACTCGCCTGCAATAGGAAGTCAAGAAACACGCCAAGTCGCATGTTATTGGTCGAGATTTGTGAACTAAACCTAACACCTAAGGTAACGTCAGTAACCATCGTGATTTACTGACTATATGCATTGAATGACTTTCGTTTAATAAAGCGCCGCATTTGCCCCTTATTAATGTGTCATTCGATTAGCCAAGAAATAAAAATAGGAACAAAAAAAAAGGAACGAGGAAAAGTAATATGCAGAGTCATATCGCTGAGCTTATTTTACATCAAAATATACACGGCAATTCTGTACGTGCTAAATGATTTTTTCTCTTTTTTTTTCAAAAATATTAACCACTAACAATTTTTAGCACACAAATAAGGATACAGACGTTACTTACCACGTCGGGTAGTTCTTTGCTCGAATCGGCAATGCAAATTGGTACTACTTGACATCTCAGCAATTTTCGATTGAAAAAGTTTCGTTTCCCACTGTACTTGATATGGCAGTTAACAGAACGACACGAATCCAATGAATCCAGATCAACCGTGGAGCACGACTCCACCCCCAGAGGATCGTAGTAGCCTGGTATAAACGAATGGAGTATTTAAGAAATTTTGATAAATGCATTATTTTTCTCAAAGAAAAAATGACCATCATTTTTTTGACCTTCTAGTATCGCCGGAACATATCGACGAGACACGGTTGTGTCGAATTGAACATTCTGACGAATTTCCCCGGTTTGATTATTCTTCCACGTATAAGAAATCCTGATATTACACTCGCCGACGCGATCATGTAGATACTTATCAATAGAAAGAGATAAATTATTAATCCAAAATATAGAACAACTTCTAAGCTTATTTTCATAGTTAATCTGAATCTATCATCTTATATAGATATTTTCAATTTATTCTAAAAAAAACAGGTGATTGCACGTACTATAGGATATAATTCTAAATTCTCAAATGTTGACTCAATCATACGTCCAAGTTTGAGGAACCAATTAGAAAAGTGCAATAAAATTGATATTGCCCTTTGCGGGATATAAGTTTCAATAATTTCACGAGCAGCCAAGTGCAACGGATAATTGCAGCAATTATACTCCCACACAGTGCGTGTATCTAAATGTTAGGTTAGATCGTTACGGCTCAATTTTGTATTTGCAGTATTTCTCCCAACTATCCGAAACCTCCGCAACGAGCCGATTTTCGCATTCGTTCTGTCCTTTTGCAGAGCAAGTCTAGAAACAGTCATAAATCATGATGGCGGCCGTTCACGTGCATATGTATTCTCCCGTAAATACAGGGATATGGTATTCGGGGTTATGGTGGTAACACTGCCGTTTAGTGATAATACGTTTGGGTCATGGTGGCGGCAGAAATACTCAGGCGAGTATGCTGATTGGTGCATGTCGGCTCCGCCCCTGCAGGATCGCGATAACGACTACTATTATATTACTCCCACGCGACAGCTAACCCTGCCATGGATATACCCGTTACTTATTGGTTCCACAAAATTTCTTGTCTTTCAAAATGTCCCGGGAAGAATGTAATTGACGACGATACCGAGTGATTTTAATTTTTAAAATTACCGATGGATCCAGAAATTTTTTTTTTTTCAATAAATTCGATATTCACATGAATTTAGGGTATTTTTAGGAATATTAATAATTTCAGATCATTCTATCATATGTTAGACTTACTAGGGTAGGCCAGATTAGGGTGAGATTTCGTACACCGTGTTGCGTCAAAATACCCATGTCACCACCGATCAGTTGCATATGCTGAAAATATTAGAGATTTCTATGAACTCGTCATCGACACGTCTAATTGTATGTATAAAAGAATTTGACAATTACCCAATTTTGTCTTCGCGTATTTTTCATCTTTACTCATCGTACTATTACATTTTTCAAACTCACCTCGCAATCAATGTCATCCTCACATATCTTCTCGCAACATTTGATCATACGAACGCTCAATGCTACCGGTGACTTCCCTTCATTCTTCATCTCGATAACTACAGACACGATAAGTTTGACAACACTCATGCTTTAAAAATATTAATCCATCTATGCAATGTATACTTTATAACGTTCATCCAGTCACGCGTTATTCAAAACGTACAAACGATATTATATAACGATATATCAGCTGTGGATAACTTTAAAGGGTTATCACTATTCCTTCGAGCACGGTTGCTAGAAAGGGACTAATCCCCGTGGCAGCGATATTTCAAAGCCTCCACAAGATTTGGCGAGCTTCCGAGGAGCCGTCCGTCACTCAACGGGAGACCCGAATTGTAATTACAACCACGAATAAAACCAGTAATCATCCAGCGAATCGTTGGGCTAAGCATCACCTGCTCAAGTCATTCAACACACTGACAATGAGTGATGATCATTATACCAGAGAAACAAAAAAAATTGCACGAGGAATATTGAACTAATTGAAAAAAAATAACAACGCTATTTATCAATATACGTTTAATACCATAAGTGACAAGTTTCATAAAAAGAATTACTATTGAAAATCCCTGTAAAAGTTATCAATGCAGTATAGTCACTCCAATCACGTAAGACGTTCCTATATTACAGTATAACACATCGTACGTGGTTTCTTACGTGGATGTTCGTACAATCATTTAAATTACTGTCTTTATCATACTCGAAGGTAATATTCGTGATAGGATGGGTCCGTGATAAAATGTCCACTGCGTACATAATTGTCTGTGGGTTACCAATGACCACAAAACTTATGGACCACATCCGTGTCAATGATAACAGATCAAAAAATGATATGGAGATCTAGTTGAATTTTAAAGTGTAAGCACCGGACTTGTCACTTTTCAGAGTCGCCTCTAGACGGTACATGAACTGATATTTCTGGCTATGAGAACTTTCCTCAAAAGAGGAATCCGCATACGCGCACCGTGAAGAACGAAACAAAACTGACGTTTGGCCAGTTCCAGTAGTGTACCTACAATCCGGTTAACGAACGGGATGCCAGCTCGGATTGCGTGTAGCATTGCAGACAAGCACTGGTATTCCGTGTGCGTCGTGATCGAAGCTTCTTCGTGATTGTCGTAAAGCGTGATCTCGTGACGTGAGGTTGATAGGGCTGACCTGTTAGCCCGGGGGATGCCCGAGTATCACTGTCAAACACGGGATTCTCGCAGACCGCGCGAATCCGATCGTCGCTTTTTCATCGAAGATGCAAAACTTTTGAAACGTATTTTGTATATCGTTTCTATATGCCTCTCGTGGCTGAGGTGTGAGCCATGTTTTTTAAATAGGATTAATAATTTATTTGTACAGTCGGATAAATAGTACTTACAGAAAACCATCCCTACATCCAGGCGGTCTATGTGTTGAATACCGGAATTCTATAGAATGATAAAATGAAAGGTGATAATTTTGAAAAGTTACGTAAAGTCATTCATAATTATAGTGCCATCTGTAGTTGTAATGATTTTGATAAGTTAAAGTATGTCAGTTCGTTAATTGTTGCTATGGAAATTCGAGATTTCTCTTTCCTTCTGTTTTTATATGACATTTTCGTATTTAACTCTAGGTGGCCCGTTCACTTGTACAAAAGTTTCGGTTTCAGTAAGTATAAGGTTGAGATGCGACACGATCGGCAATTACCTGAGTTTGCCAGTATAAAAGTAAAAGAATGGATGAAAGTATAGAATCTGCTTTCCCATGGCCTGGGGTGTTACTTGTGTTAAAGGGTTTTTATATGTATATAATATGTATACGTATATAGTGAATATATGTAGAAAATGTACGCGTATAGGGACAGATAGGTCGTGGGGCAATTTACGTGTCAGTCTGTCAGGTTGTAATTTGACTGATAGAGGCTCTTGGCCGCCATGAACGCGAGCACAAAAGAGACGGGGTTCTCGATGGTTCGTAATTGCCTCCGAAAACTCGCTCGATTTCAAAATATCGGTTTTTCGAGGCCTCAGGGTTGATACCTCACGTACCGACCTGGTTATGTGCCTTTATTAACTCTTGAAATTTCAGAAGAATTGATTTCCTTTATGCTGTGCTTCACTTGTTTTTGTATCATTTGACAGTTTGCGATATATGTGATAGCGTCAGTTTAGTGCTATTTGTCCATATTCGCTTTCAGTTTGAAAGTTGCATCGTTTGACTTACCCTTATTTGTAGCAATTCAGTAGGCACGACATTCTTAAATATTGAAACAAGAGTAATCACAATAACCATGGATTCAATCATTTTTTGCTAAATTACTATGTAGCAAAACAAACAGTTGATAAAATTGGAAGAATATATACATGAAAAAAAAAATGAATATTGTAAAGGAGTGCGTTTCTGTTTCTTCACTAAAGTGTTTGTTAGCCTAATGTAAAATAATCAAAAATTAGGATATCGTAAATTGTATAAAACTTGAGTAATTTAATAGTACGGCAATTGATCTATTTGTTTAATTAATTTGAATACGAAAATTTGACATATATGTGGGTGCTGAAGCTCGTAAAGAGTCGAAAGTTTATCAAGTGCGATGGTGGTGTAATGGTCAGCATAGTTGCCTTCCAAGCAGTTGATCCGGGTTCGATTCCCGGCCATCGCACATTATTTTTAAAAAAATTTAATAAAAATGCTGTAAAATTCTACATGTCTCTTTATATCAAATAATTATTTTATGAGAATCAGTCATATGAAAATATTAAAAATGTCTTGAATTTGATTTTTCGATTTAAAAAATGTGCTTACAATGCAGATTCCTGCAACTCCCGGGTCTAGTAGGTTTCAACCAACATGGCTGCGTTGTTTTGTGGCTGACGCGTTTGCAGTGATGAGAAGGGCGGGAAGGGCGCTAAATAGTAGCGCTTAGTTCAGAAGTATGATTTTGCGATCATCGCCTCTGTCGAGGTTACAGTTTCCGCTGTAGCCGCGCGGGTGAAGATCATCGTTCCGGCCGATATTGCAGTCAGCGCGAACACAATGGGGTTGCTCGACGGTGGGGAAAAGGGAAAAGGACAAGCAGGCGGTACAGCAGGGTTTTCCGTCCGATCGAGCTTTGAACATTTGTATGGACGTACTGTGCAATCAAATGTGATTCGAATATCGGGAGAATCACTGGCAGGCTGAAAGTCTCCTACGAAAACTCACAGATGATATAGTGCGCGCTACAGCTAAAAAATATTCTGAGTGGTAAGATGAAAGGCATCCTTGCACTAATCATCATTTAGAGTCTTTAGTCAGTGTCAAAATATTTGCTCAGACTATAAATATAATAATCGCGCGTCGCGATCAGTTCGCACAGCTGGCGTGCAAGAGAAACGGAATCAGAAATTGAAAAAGCTGCAGGGTTTATAAGTTTCGTAACGAGTGGTATTGAACTCTGACCTATCTGTAATCGGATGCTCTTTGAACTGTACACCGATACATTTATTTATATCTTAAAAGTTGCATCCGTTTGCAGTTAGTGGCTCGATGAGTTGAGTTTCAATATGCAACATTTGTTGCAAATATCAGAGTATTGAAATTATTCAACCGTTCATTATCCAAGTCGCAAGTGTCTACAATCGGGCGCTCTTTTAATTACACTGTTGCTAATCATTTTGAATTATCGAAGGTGTTCCCGTGCGCAGTCAAAGGCTTTTTCAAGCAACGGTTCGATTGATCAACAGTTATTTGAGTTGCGCATTTGATAACCATACATGTACTCGATTATTAAACTCGGCGAAACAATCAACAAAATAGTTATCAATCAACAGAAGTAGAATAAATCAAGAAAAACGTATGAGCTTCATGGTTGAGTTTGTAGCGTGCCTGCTCGGTGTTCGGACGGGAGAGGCTTTGAGGCCGGGCACAACTTTTTTTAAAAATATTTTATACAAATTAAAAATAATGTTTGGGCAACCGAGAAAGGCTAAAAGAGAGGAGCTTTGAAACATTTTCCTGACGAAATGAAGGGAACAAAATTTTAAAAAAGTTTTTTACCGGGGGACCGACCCAGACCCCCAGCGTTATAATTCAGCGGACTACCAAATCTGCCACGACTCTCGTTTAATGTGAAATTAAATTTATAATAGACATTTATCTATAATGTATACTGGTGTTGAAAAAAACACTAAAATGATCGCCAAAAAAACTCAATATTCCTCTTTGAACCTTCTTCGGTCGTTTCAGCGTGTTATTTTCCAACGAGTTTCGCCATTCATTTTTTTTAGTGTTCATTTTCTGCATAATAAGAAATAAAGAGTAAAAAACAATATTCCTTTGTATTTTTTATAACTTTGAATTTTATTTGATACACATTTGTTTGCGTAGTACGTCCATACAAAATGTTCAGAGTTCGATCGGACGGAAAACCTTATTTCACCGCCTGCTTGTTAAGAAGGATGTGCAATGGGCGACAACTTTTCTCCATCACCGAGCATTACATTCATGATCGCGCTGACTGCAATATCGGCCGGAACGATGTTCATGAGCCGCGCGGCTATAGCGGAATCTGTAAGCTCGACAGAGGCGATGATTACAAAATTGAACTTCTGACCTAGCCGCTACGATTTAGCGCCCTTCTCGTGACACGGCCAGAACTCGGACGTTGTGCACTTCTTACTCCTTTCTGGCCAAAACCCGGGCGTTTTGCATCTTCCTACTCATCTCTGGTTTTTGCGATACTACTGTTTCCTTCTAGAGTCGTTTGCTCGTGACATTTTAAGGTTATGTTATGTGACGTTTGAAATACTTAGTCATGAATAAGAGTGTGGATTCTATTTACAAGTGTCGCCTTTGCCTTACGGACATCAACGAGACTAACTCAGCGCCCATATTTTCACAATTAGAAACATGTATAAACGGTATTCCTCTCTCGGCCAAAATAATGGTCTGTGTATCACTTACGGTATGTGAATTTATTCCTTCTTGTAGCCGGACACATTCAATATGATTTTTCTCGAATAATTGTTTTAGGGACTTAATATATAACATGAAATTAGCTAGACATTACTAGGAACATCCAATTCTTATTCTCGGCGTAAATAAACTGTTTTGTTCTCTTCTTTACCGATGGAACTTGAGCAGATATAGGTTATCCGTTAATACTGTAGATGGTGCATAAATCACTGATTTCATGTAAATTTAATTTTTTGATTTTAGGTTCAAGAAGACGACTCCTTTCCACAACAAATATGTAAAAACTGCGAAGATCGTATAAATTGCTTTTATACATTTCGCGAAACATGCTACAGAGCATACCTTTCACTCATTCAAGAATGCGCTAACTGCAAACGTCTCGAACAACAGATTCACAAACAAAATATGAAGAATAATCGGATAAAAGATTACAAGGGACGTACCTCAAGAGAACATCGTAAGAATAAAAAACACATGGCTGAATTAAAATTGAGTAAGAACCTAGAGGAGCCTAGAAATATATTAATTGATGCTATAGATTTTATCATTGGAGACGGAACGTACGTGGAAACGACAGATGAACGAGAAAACTTACGTGCTGATAAATTGTCAAAAAATGCAGTCCATCAGGAGTCATCTGAATCAGAAAATAGCGCTATAAAAATAGTGGCGATCAGTCATGATAACACAGTGAAGAGTATAAAAGATGATAACGAGATAAATATGAAATGTAAAAATGGTCGAGTAAATAGAAAAAGCAGACAAGCATCACATAGTCAAGGTACAACAGAGGAATCTGAATATGATTTGGAACAAAATATACCACAACATCATATAGTTTGTGTCGATACGAATCAGCCATGTGCTAGTGGAGTACTAAAACAAGATACTGTAGATATTGAAAACAGTTTAAAACTAACCAATGAAAAATATACAAAAGCAAAGACACTAGATAAAATTGAAAAAATCATACAAGCGGCGCAACTGCAGGAAATAATTCCTGTAGACCCTACAGTGGAGAAACAAAGTGAAGATTGTGAAAATTTAAACAATGTGGAAAATTCGAGCGTGGAGGAAACTGCTCCAAATACATATTTGGATGATTCGACAATGGAAAGTTGCTACCAAGTGGAAGAAATAGAAGAGCAAATACTTTGCGGTGAATATATGGAGCGTAGATATAAGTACAAATGTTTACGTTGCCATAAATGCTTTGCCGATCTTCATATGGTGACAATGCATTATATTGACTGTTGTCGCGATACGGAAATATTAAGGAACGATCAAACTCTTGATCAACCAATCGGAGTGGAGCATTTAGATAATAACTTTAAGGATACATTAGTAAACTGCAATGCCGACCATGCAACGGAAGAATCGCTGCCAGATAAAGAAATTTCTGAAACACGACTTAAGTGTATTTGCAATGAAGATACGTCAAGTAGCAAGTATAGGATATCCTTAGAGGAATCAAATAGTTTTAAAAAGGAATACGAATCAGATTTGGACACTGAAGTAGAAGTAAATGGTTCAGATGATGTTGATGCCTTAAACATTAGGAATATGAAAAGCGATGTCTCTAGTGTCAATACTGAGATACCAATAATTCGCACAAACAGCGATGGCGCGGAATCAAACGGCAACACGACTGTTAAATCAAACGATGTAAATGAAAAATCGCAAAGTCAAAAACGAAAACGTAAAAGTCACAGGTATAAAATGGACCATCCGTGTCCCCACTGTAATAGCATGTTCAGAAATGCTTCTTTATTAAAGAGACACTTGTCAGTACACACCGGCGAGCGGCCTTACGCATGTGAAAAATGTAATAGGAGATTTTCTCAGTTGGGACAGTTAAACTTCCATCGTAATTTTCATGAAAATCCTCGTTATCGTTGTGAAATATGTAGCAAGCCATTTTTGCGACCAAGCGATATTCAAAAGCACATGAGAACACACACTGGTGAAAAACCATACAATTGTCAATTGTGCTCAAAGTCCTTTGCACAATTGGTCGCTCTGCAACAGCATGAACGAATTCATACAGGTGACAAGCCATATACTTGCGAAATATGCGGAAAGCGATTTACGCAAAAAGCCAATAAAACTAAACACGTGAAGATACATAAGGAGGGTGCAAAACCTCACACTTGCGAAATTTGCGGTAGGAGTTTTTCTGACTTGAACGAAATGGAGTTGCATAGGGGTGGCCATGGGGGTGGAAAACCAAGAAAGTGTGACCATTGTAATGAGAGTTTTCGAAAAATTTCTGAACTGACGCAACATATAAGGCGCTTTCACACTTTCGAGAGACCACATAAATGTGCTATTTGTCCTAAAGCTTTTTATTCAGTTTACAATTTGAAGCAACACGTTATGGTCCATACTGGACAGCGACCTTTTATCTGTCCCAAGTGCGACTTGAGGTTCACGCAAAAAGGTAATCTTACCAAGCATTTTGAGAGAAAGCATGCGGAATACATGCTTGAAAAGGAAAAATACATAACGATTAGTGAGGAGGAGTATCATGGCGATGATATGTTGATCATAGAAGGATCTATGAGTGATAAGATAAGTGAACCGTTGATTGTCGAACGGGAAGAAACAATTGAGTTAAGAAATGAAGATTTGAAAAATATCAGTGATAATAATATTCAGATTTTGGACATGGGGGAATAAATTGGACTATATATACAATCTGTTTATTTATATTTCAACTATTTTTTTCATATTTTTAATACATTCGTAAGAAAAAGTCTTGCACTTTTTAATTACACTGTACTCTAGTTTACGCATTTACTGTAAATATTTATTAGGATAAATGTAAATATACATATATCTGTTCGTCATTATTATCCATTCTTTTAATGAAAAATCAGATTACCATTATTCGAGATTACCATATCCATGAGCCGAGTCTCGCCTCAAGTACACGCAATCGGCTGTACAGGTGACGAACTGTCGAGACTCTTTACCCGAGTAAAATCTTATACCTATGTTTGGAATAAAATATCTTATGAACCGCCATATATATGAGAAAAAATTATTGATATATTCACTGTAGGAATTGAGGGTTCTGAATCGATTGCTAACAGGATCAATACGATTAGTGTACGAAATCAGGGTGTATTAACATGGTGAGCGAGATGATTTTATTTCAGTTCCGTCGTCTTCGTTGTCTTCGCACGTCCATTTACTTTTCCACATAACGAATGGCACTGATGTAGATACACGGTTGATTCTTGGGCAACGACAGGCATTCGACGGTACAGCCAAGGCGACGAAACGAGTCATGTAACTGAGCGTCATTAATGGCGTCCTGTTTGTGAACACCGTGCGGTGGGGTAAGAGAGGAAAGTGCCGATTCGTTCGCACTAATGCTCTGCGTAAAGGACGCAATCAGCGACGCTTTGGCATCTCGCTCACACCATAGGATCCCTCTCTGAGCTGCTCGCACGGCTTGAGGTACGTAAATAATCCTGTACACTCTCCTCTCTTACCTTTACCACATGGCGTCAACAAACTCGAGACCATTAATGACGCTTATATGGATTGAAAATTAGATTTTATTAAAAAATGTATATATATTATTATGTATATCTAAAAAATTAAATTTATATGCCATTAAACATTTGCGACAACGTGATATATTCTTCAAGTGACGTCACAATGTATTTACATTTTATATCTGTAACAATATAGATTTGAATGCTTAGATCTTCTTTAATATATCCTGTTGAGCAACAAAAATTTGTGATATCCTTCCAAAACACAGTTGTAAAAAATTATGCCAAGTACAGGAGTTCTGTGAATTCCTCTAACAAAAAGTAATGAAATGATGTAGACTAAACATGCCCATATAATCTGGGCCGCGTGATTCTGATATGCAGAATGTACTATATACATAAAGGTAAATCTTACTCGGGTGGCTACCAGTGATTTTATCTAATGGTCAGAATGTTACCCAGAATCGCACCCAAATGTACGACACTATTGAAATGAAATTCCCTGAATGGCTATTCTCCTGAAATGCCGATGTATCACTAATATACTACTCTGTTATATTGTTGCATATCTCAATTGAGCAGTCAGTAGCCAAATTTATTGTACCAATAACTGATATAGAACTAAAGATATTGAAAACCTGACGATGAGAATATCACGGCAATTATTTGACAATAAATTCAAAATGAGTAGTATTTATCTTAAGAAAAAGTAGGAAGCTCTGATATGCCATGCGAGTAGAACGTATAAGTGAAAGTCGTAGTTCCAGTTGCCGTTCAAAGTTATACTTTTGATAATTATTTGGATGATTCGCGGGATGAAGGAAAACGTTGAAGATAATAGAGGAAAGGCGCTTCAAAGTTGGAAAAAGAATGAAGAAGATAGGAAAGAATTTTGTGAAATGGGCCCCTCCCCGCTTATTTCTGTGAGGTTTTTGGGGTTTGAGAATAAAACCCGAGTCCCGAGACTCCCGCGTCCAAGATTCGGGGAAAAGGCCTCAGGAACGAAAGGAAGCTGGGCCGAGCAACAATAAAGACGCAAAAGAAAAGTTAAACGCGAAAGTCTCTCATCTACGACAGAGACTTTAGTCAAAAAGCTGCTTAAAAGAACCGATACTACTTCAAGTGAAGTTAACCCAGAAACACGAACAAAGGCAGCTACTTTGCCCGGAGTCACCAGACTACAACTCCGACCTCCCCACCGGCATACAGGATCGTTTCCACCTACACAAGTGCTCAAAGGTCAGCGACGTCTTGCAGCGTTTTTAGGAAAGCCAACAAAATATACTAAAATCACGAAGGATAGACACTTGGCTAAATTGACTGCACGCAAGACTATGGTCGTAGCGTATCCTAAGAGTATTCAAGGCCCCCGTCGGGAAGTCAGAAGAGACCATATTCCGATAGCAACCTGGGCCCAACTTACTGAGCAAGCTCAGCAGATGAGGCTGAAGGGCAACTCCCGTTCCCATAGTCTACGTGTGTTGCTGTAAGAGAATGAACTACCCTCCTATGGCTACTCGAAGAAATATGCTGAACCCAATGAGAGAAGTAAGAGAAGTCAGACAAGCACAATGTAAAATGGATGAGAACAGAACAGAGAGAAGAAGGCAGAAAGAAAGAAATAAGGAAAGTAAAGAATAAACTAAGAAATACATAAAGAAAACAAAATAAAACTAGCAAATTAAGAATACGAGTATAGGACAAAACGAAAAATAAATATGGAAAAAAGGATTAAAAATGGATAATCGTTCGGGCCACTATCAACATATGAAGTTTTATCTTCTCTCTAATATGGTTACCAGTGATTATCATCTTATGGTCAGCCGGAAGTACTACACTATTGAAATAAAACCTCCCAAAAAACAGTTAAGTGTAAGAAACTATGCCAAGTACAGGAGTGCTGTGAATTCCCTAATAAAAAGTATTGAATTCACATTATCAATGCCAAGTACATAAGGGTATTGTATATCTGATTATTGTATGATCTAGCACTAGCCCATTATTTTAATTGTATTTTCAAAATTTTCTATGACGTCCTCGCTACTCTTTTATATTACTACTGCTTCTCATACGTAATTATGATTTAATGGTCATTTAATAATTAATAAAACTTTCGGTGATTCCTTATCGGGTATTACTTGGCGGGTCCGTACCAGGAATTCCAAAGTACTTTGAACGTATTAATAGTATTTTAAGTTTATGTGTTTGTTATTAAGCTTTTACCGTGATTATTTTTGACGAGTTATTGTTAATATGTTCCATATAGAAAGTTGAGGTTGGTTTTGAGTTTGAAGACTGACATAATGAACACAAATTTATATCAAGTAATGCGCGAACCCGCCAAGTAGTAGTCGATAAGGAGCCACCTGAAGTTTTATTAATTATTAAATGATCATTAAATCATAATTAAACACGAGAAGCAGCAATATTATAAAGGAGTAGTGAAGACGTTATAGGAAATTTTGAAAACACAAATGGATGAGCTAGTGCTAGATCATATAATAGGCAGATATATAATGAGTAATGATTTATGTACTTGGCATTAATATGACTTCAATAGTTTTTGTTAGAGAAATTCACAGCACTCCTGTACTTGGCATAGTTTGTTTTACATGTAAGTATTATTTTGGGAAGAAGATTAAGAAATTACAATTACGATATTTTATTGAGAATATCAGGCAATATGAATTTCTAACATGCCGGCAGTCAATAGCATATCGTACATGAAATATTCTCAGCAGTGATTTATCCTTTGTAAGGGTAGAAATCTTTAAGCCAATGCTGGTAACACAGTTTATCGACCATAGATATATTTGGGGATACAAATAATTTTATTATGACTTGATAGAGGTCATGATAGATTCGCGTTGATTTGCACGTACAACAGTGTAACATATTTTCACGGTAATAGACAATTTATAAGAAATTTCTGTCATCTAAGAAATTTAATAAAGGACGACAAATATATTTTCCATTCTATTTATTTTTTCATTGAAACTATTATCAGCAACGTATACCGTCTTATTTCTAGATTTAACTCTAAAGCTGCACTGTGGGGTACGTCGATATCCCAGTGTCCTTTCGAAAAACTTGGTTTGCGATTTTGCAGTGACTTTTATAACTTTCAATGTATTTTTTCATTAAATTAATTGCAAATAATTAAAAGATAATTTCAAGTCAATCTCTCCGTTATTATCTAACAAAGAAATTAATGGACCCTAAAACTTTTTGACTCTAATGGGAACCGGAAGGGTACGATGGAAAAATCAGGGATGCTTTGGTACCCCAGTATACAGGTCTGGAGTTAATATCAATCAAAAGTAATTCATTACGTTTCTATACACACTGTAGTAATTGTAGTAATTTGAACAATTTTTAATATTATGATAAATATGATAAATATCATTAATTAACTAATTTTATATACATAGGCAACAATTTTTCGTATTGAGAGGAAACGTGTATTGTGTTCATTTGTAACAATAATTATTTTCGCATGGCTGTCGAGATCATAAGGACATTTATTACATTAATTACGGTACGTTATCGCGTAAAATTTACCATGGGGAAAGCTTGCACGTTATTACGTAACAGGGAAACTGGACTGAGATTGCAGAAGAGATGGATATTCATATCGAATTTGCAAACACCCCCGGTTTGGCAATTAATATGCAATAATTTTCTACGATAAGCGTATCAATATCCCTTTAGGCGAACTTGCGAAAAAGCGCTTTCCGCTGCTATGTGGCCACAGGGTGTATTATTAAAAATGTTCAAAAGTTATATAACAATGCCTTTGTGTAACAATTGGCAATAAATAATTGAGCATTGACCACTTCACTATTTATGATTTCCGTATCGGGGGAGTCAACTGAAAAATATTTTTTTTAAATTTTATTTGCAAAATTGAGAAATTAGTATTTCATGTGTGTCAGCTTCCAATTAAACTAGTTACATTTCCTTTGATGCTTTGCCCCTGTTGTTAAGGTAATTAAACTCATTTCAATTCAATTGATTAGACTAAACGAAAAATTTCCAATCAAACACAAATATCTATACGCTTTATTACAGTATATTACTTAATGTCACGGTAGGAGTTTCTCTGTCGTTACTTGAATCGGCTCGAAGATCCAATTTCTAGATTTTCATTCTTGAGCGTTTCCACTGTTTTGACCTTCTTCGATAATAACTTCTTCAACTGGACGATCAATCAAGATTGCGTCGCGAAATTTTCCAAGGTATAACGACATCACTTCGTCAGTCAACCGTCCTGGGACAGAGATCAAGATAATAACACTGATGAGATATTGGTCATCCAAACCCCCAGGTAAACTCTCATCCGATGAACTTCAAAATGACTTCTCAATTTTGCTGAGTGACATTTTCCATAATCTCAAAATACTGAAACCTAACCTATAAATGGGTGAAGTTACGTCTATCCTGGTAATCGAGATACTCGGATATGGTTCACTCGAAGAGAAGATACCTCATGGTTAAACGAAGTGGCCGCCGCAGGCGTTAAACCAATTAGCTAACTCCCCAGCACTTCAACCCCAGAACCTTTAACGAAGGTAGGAACGAACGAATGAACTGCGGGCCGGAAAGAAGCGGATGGTATGAGGAAGGAAAGAATAAAGCAAAGATGATAGGAGGAAGCGTAGAAACGTAACCTCCTTCGAGGATCCTCTCGAGTAACTGCCGGAGGATATTCGATGTTCTCCACTTGTTTTATCCAGGGTCCACATGGCAAAGCTTTTATTTTACGGCCCTACCATGGCTAACTTTTTTAGCCTGCCAGCTATCACCAGCACCTTCTGTCACGATCTTCGTACTTTAACGCTCTCAATCTTTAACGGCCATTCTATTGGTAATCCTGAAATACTTCGTTACCGGTTGGTTAATTAACTACCCTATTTTCAAGTTTAGTGCCCCAACTTTCTGTCCGGACGCAGACTACTCGTGGGACGTGTTGTGGATAATTATTGTGTCACCTTGATTTTCTCTTGATTTCAGGTAAACTTACGCTTTATAAGAAAATTATGGATATTTTTAATGACTACTGATCCAAGATAAGGTGAGTACTGGCAATTCTGTGGCGAGGTCAAATCATCAAGTTCCTCAACCTAACGAATCTCTAGCTTACCCTAAAAACGCCCTTCGGCGTAAAGCCTGACAGGTTATGAAAAGAGGGCGAAAAAAGGAAAAATAA